TAGTGGCGATCAGGATATTTCGAGGATCACGCTGGACATACGACTATATCCAACTAACGACTATTCTTGTATATCCGACTTCGACAGGAGAACCTGAACTCGCAGATAAGTTACCCAGTCGATTTTAGTCGCTCCAGAGCAGCACCTGAGTGGGATAAGCCTTACTCATTAGGAAGAGGACACTTTTGGTCGTTCGATTTTCTTTATTGAGTTTCTCTTCTTTTTCTTTTTCTTCATTGAGTTCTTTTCTTTATTGAGTTCTCTTGTTTGTTAACGATGGTTGGTGGAACCGTGGATACAACGACCATGTTGTCGATGTTTACACAACTCATGGAGGAGCAAAGGAGTGCTATATCATCAATGATGTCAACAATTATGAAGGAGCAGAAGGACATCAGGGTCATCGAAAGCGCGCCAGAGCGTGATCAAAGGGTCCGCAAGGCGGAAGAACCACTGGCACTCCCAAATGTGATGCAGCCTTGAGCAGCCGCATCGAGAAATTCGTTTTCGACCCGGATGCCGACATGAGCTTTGCAAAATGGTTCTCGAGATACAAGAAGGTGTTTTCCGAAGGTGCAAAACAACTGCAGGAGAATAACAAGGTTAAGTTACTATGTGAGAAACTGGATTCAGTGACATTCGACAAGTTCCAGAGGCATATTCTACCGAAGGATGTTTCCCAAATCGGATTCGATGAGACGGTAGAAGTACTCAAGCAGCTATTCGTTCACAAAATTTCGTTGTTCACCACAAGATATCAGTGCCTCAAACTGGAGAAGAGCGATGTCGAAGACTATCTCACGTATACTGGCCGCGTGAATGAATTCTGTGAAAAAGCGAAGATTCACGAACTGGACTCAGATGGAATCAAATGTCTTCTGTGGATTTTTGGCCTGAAGTCACAGCAAGAAGCAGAGATCAGACAAAGGTTGATCGCAATACTCGATAGAGAGCACAAAGCTGGGAGAAGCGTGTCTCTACACGAGTTGCATAAAGAATGTGAAA